TTTATTTATTTTTGAGAGAGAACGGGGAGGGGGGAGCAGAGAGAGCAAGAGAGAGAGAATCTTAAGCAACCCCTGCACTGTCAGCCTCAGCACATGGGGCTCACGAACTCACGAGCCACGAGACCACGACCTGAGCCGAAATTAAGAGTCAGATGCTTAACCAACTGAGCCACCTAGGCGCCCCAAGACATTACCTTTCTTAACTCGTGAATGCCCCAGGTTTTGAGAAGCATTTCCTTCCCCCATCTCTGTCCACAGAGGCATATGCTGCAGCGATTTGTGTGTATCTCAATTCATCTCCTTTGTAGAAGCACCTTTTATCAGGTGCTTGAGTTGTGCCTTCCTTCTCTGACACCGAGAGGCTATCAGGATGTTTTCATCTGAAGGCCTTCCCTTAGAGGCTTAACATTGACCTTTCTCCTGCATATTACCTCAGGAAACAGTAAATGTCTATCAGCCTATCTAAAAGTGGTATACTCTTTAGAAATGCACAGACGTAATCTCTTTTTAAATCTTATTTTAGAGAGAAAGAGAGTGCACAAGAGGGAGAAGGGGGCAGAGAGAGAGAGAGAGAGAGAGAGAAAGAGAGAATCCCAAGCAGGCTCCATGCTCAGCACAGAGCCTGACACAGGGCTCAATCCCCCAACCCTGGGATCATGACCTGAGCCAAAATAAAGAGTCAGACGCTCAACGCACTGAGCCACCCAGGCGCCCCCAGTTATAATCTTTGAATATGACTTTTGAGCCTCTGTACAAGCCTGGGGGTTTCAAATTCAGTAGATTGCCCTATTCTGTTTGCTTCTCAGTGCACGTTCTTCTTGGATGCCTTCCCAGACCAGACTGCCCACTTGAATTACAAGCTCATGAGTGCTTCAGAAAACACAGAAGACTCTCCTGAGCTGCAGGGAAAAAATAATTTTCTCCTCCTTGATGTGTGAAAGACTACTAGGGAACGCTTTTCTTCCTGCAACAGCCGATAGCCTACTGTCTTCTTTGGCATGTTGAGCTAGTTTCTTTACTGAGAAATTCCTCCCACGTGTTTACTGTGATGGTTAATGTTATGTCGACTTGGTTGGGCCACAGTCCCCAATTATTTGATCAAACCATTATTCTAGATGTTTCTGTGAAGGCATTTTTTAGAGGAGATTCACATTTAAGTTGGTGGACTTGAGTAAGACAGATTACCCTCCGTAATGTGGGTGGGCCTTGTCCAAGCAGTTGAAAGTCTTAGCAGAAAGAAGACTGACTTTCCAAGAGAAAGCAGCAGACTGCCTTTGGACTCAAAATGCAACATCTTTTCTTCCCTGGGCTGGATCTCCAAACTACTGGGCTACCCTGCAGGTTTTGGACTTGCGAGCCTTGGTAATTGTGTGAGCCAGTTCTTTGAAATAAATCTCTCTCTCCTCTCTTGATAGATAGATGGATAGATACATGAATACATAGACAGATACAGAAATAGTTATAGATATCCCTTATTGGTTCTATTATAGTTTATAGCTATAACTAGCCACCAAGGGACCATGATATTATACTCTCAATGGCTATCTTAGAAGAAACCCTGCATGGCCCTTCTACAGGGCAGCAAAAAGGTAATTCCTCCAAAAAGGTAACGTCCCTGCAGGAGGTTACCATCTGTGTGCATTATTCTACCCAAAATAGTAGTTTTGTTCTCTTTTGAGTGGTCCGGACTTAAGCATCAAGTACTGAGATTTGAGAAATACCCGATAAATATTATTTGTCTTCCTTCATCATCTTTCTACCCTCTTGAAAAATAAGTAAAACATAAGATCAAAAGGTCTGACAATGGTAGATGTGGCTTATAACTGGTGGCTGCTCGATTTCCCAAGAGTGGGTCTCAGAATGACACAACCATGCAAAGTCATGGCAGGGGTGGCCCCACACAGGGTTAGCACACCGTCACGGGCAGCAGCCCATTTTTCCATAGGGAGCAGTAACTCTCTACATGATGCCAGGTCCCTCCTCCCTGGCGTAACAGACTGCTTCCTCCTTTCTGTGGAAGTAGGAAGTGATGGATAAGAAAAAGGCCAGAAATGTTGCTCTGGTGGAGCTCCCTCCCCCTGGAAGGAAACACCCTTGGAAGAGAAAGCAACCCTCCAGCCATACCACACCGCCCAATAGTTACCCCTGTTCTATAGATGGGAGAATTCAGATCTAGGAAACATAAGATCTACTCCTGTAAGGGGTGCCTGAGTTGCTCAGCCAGTTCACTGAGTTGGATGACTCTTGGGGTTTGGCTTAGGTCACGGTCTCACAATGCGTGAGTTTGAGCCCCGTGTCAGGCTCCACACTACTAGCGCGAAGCCTGCTTTGGATTCTCTCTCTCTCCCTCTCCCTTTGCCCCTCCCCTGCTCTTTCTCTCCCTCTCTCAAAATAAATAAATAAACTTAAAAGAAAAAACCACTGTTGAAAGTCACACCATTCATAAGTAGTTTGACTATAGTTCATGCCCGAGTCCATCTATTGTGGGGGAATCTACTCATGCACTGTTCTTTATAAAACAACACTAGCTTTTCATAGGAAATAGAGAACCCCTTTGGTATGCTTTATGCCAATGAAATGTGAGTTGAGGCATTTAAGGAGCTGGCATTGCAAATACGCACATTCTCATAAAGATCATGGCCTGGTGGTTTACAGAAAGATTCTCATAACTGGATTAACTGAAGGATATGAAACAAAATAAAAAGAAAAGAAAAATAATGAGGAAATCTCTAACATGAATTATGGGGTAGGCTTAATTATCATTTTCAAAAATAATCAGAATCCTCTCTCTCCGTGGTCTGGGCATCTCCCCGTGAGGATAGACCATATGCGCCATTACTCTGCTTCCTCTGATGTGTCCCTCCTCATTCTACTTAAGGCCCCTTCCTCACTTCATCCATCATAGACCTACTGAGGTTGCCACATGGAGTTGTGGTTCATTAATTTTCACTGCTTTATAATGTTCCTAAGTGTGTACATATCCTCCTCTCTCGTGTGTGTGTGTGTGTCCATTTATTTGTTCAAATACATAAATATAAAAACAAATGAATAAAATTTTTTTGACATCTTGTTTGACAAATTTTTCATTTGTATTTGTGTGTGTGTGTGTGTATATATATATATATATAATCCACCATGCTATATAGATGGATGTTTGCATTGTTTCAATTGTTTGCTATCCTTCCTTTAAGATACCTTGCGGTGCCTGACTCCCAGTCTACATGAGTACAAGTGTACTCTTGGGTCTATACCTAGGAGTGCAAGAACTGGGTCTTAGGAAATGCAGTATGCAACTTTATGAGAAAACTTAAAGTGGTCTTCCGAAGTGCTTTTTTTAAATCAAATGTCTCCTTCAAAATAAGAGCAAATATTCACATTGGTCTGCATGTTCGCCAACAGCTGGAGTTACCAGGTTCCCTAGTCAGTGGGAAGTTGTGCCCCACTATGGACTTAACTGACATTTCTCTGAAGACTGATGAGGTGAATTTTCTTGTGTTTCTTTTTTATTTGCATGTCCACATCTATGAAGTCCCTGGTAATATTTTTTGCCCTTTTCTATGTTTGCTTTTTAAATTGGTTTGGGGCCATCTGTAAAGACTCTGCACATTAATCCTGTTGACGTTTTGTGTGTTACAATTATATTCTAGAAAGTTACTTCTTGATTTTTCACTCTATATTTCTTTTTAATTGAAAAATTAATTTTTCACGGACTGTATAAAACATACTTCGGGCAACTTTTATGCACCTTGTTTGACAAATTTTTCTGTGCCTCAACATAATAATATATCCTTCTACACTGCCTTATAGACTTTGTAGTGGTTTTCTTCTCTAAATTAATCCATTATTCATGCGGAATTGCCTTTTTTTAATGATGTGAGTTATGAGTCCAATTTTACCTTTTCCCCCCCTTAAGATCACTTAAGATTATTGGTCCAGCATCATGGATTTTCCCCACAATGTACATCTGGATCACCCATCGTTTATTAAAACTGGAAGACAAACCAGTGTCTCCTCAAACAGGACAAGCAAGGATTGCTTAGTAAAGGGTTGTTTACATCTCGCTTTAAAATATGTAGATTCCTGGGTGCCTGAGTGGTCATTAAACATCTGACTTTGGCTCCGATCATGATCTAATGGCTTGTGAGTTCAAGTACCACATGGAATGAGCTCGAGCCCTGCTTCAGGTGAGCCCTGCTTTTCTCTCTCTCTCTTTCTCTCTCTCTGTTCACCATGGAATTCTCTCTCTCTCTGTGTCTCTGCCCCTCACTCACTTGTGCCCTCTCTCTCTCTCTCTAAAAAAAAAAAAAAAAAAAAAAAAAAAGGGACATTCTCCTGAATTATCTCTTGGGCCCAATATAATCACAGTCCTTGGCTCGAGCCCCTTCGAAGCCAGCAGTGGGGGGCCAGGCCCTTCTCACACTGCATCTGTGACTCTTTGATTGTCACATCACTCTCCATGACCACAACCAGAAAATTTATCTACTTTTAAGAACCTGTGTGATTCTATTGGGCCAGAAAGAAAATCCAGGATTAGTAATCTTCTTAATTCTTTTTGCAATGTTTGACTCCCATTTGCCATGTAACATATTTAATGGTTCTGGGAATCAGGATCTAAAGAGCTTTGAGGACTGATTTTTCTGAATACCACACTGCCCTTGTCTGAGAGTGTCATCAAGGAACATAGGAAGAAAAATATAGGTTATATTCTGTTTGACGCTAGCTAAGAATTCATTGGCAGTAGAAATGTCCTGGATCTTCATCCAGAGGGGCAGAATCTAAAAAAAAACTAGGGACACATGGAGCTGTTGGAATAAGAAGTAACCAACATGGACTTCTTTCCTCTGGTGAAAGATTCGGCACGACATGGACTGATACAAGAAAATCTGAATCAAGCAACTTATTTCCATTTACACAGATTTGGAGACCTTAAAATGACACTGTTTCCTGATTCCTTGAAAAGCTGGTAGATCTTACGGTGGGGAATCAAAAGAATAATCCTCATCAGCAAATAAAAGCAGTCTTTATTATCCTGTGTTGTACTCTCAGTCTCAGTCCCATGTGGTAAACAGCCAACTGAGGGAGATTCGATAGGTCAAACTGACTGGAAATGCCACACCACAGGGATCTATTGAAATGTGACCTCGTCATACAAATGGTCAGGAGAGGGGCTGTCGTCATTATTTGGTAAGAAAACCACCACCTGTGGAAAAATCAGAACATGAGATTCTTGTAGTCGACAATAGGGAGAAAGAAGTCATCTCATTTGCTTTAGAAACCGTATGGTCACTGAGCACCTTCCTTCTGAATCCTGACACTTTGCAGGTCTAGGTTCCCATTCTTGCCTTAACCTTCCTTTCCCTACACCTCTTCAACAAATGCCAGAAGTGACCTTCGTTTGAGAAAAAGAGGACTCTTCAGTGTCTAGGGATAGTTCTTTGGCTGAGTGTGGTTGGCTATTTCCCTGTGTCTCCCCCTGTGTCACTTCCTTCAAAGAAGATAAAGACTTTATACATGGAACAGCACTTTCCCTCTTCCTAATCTTCCCCACAAAAAGAATAGAGGACCCGCACAGAGAGCGAAGCAGAGTAGAGAGAGAAGGAGAGAGAGAGAGACCCCATAAAGACCCAGAACACTCACCTTGTTGACGGAACAGGCCGCCCTGCACACAAATATGGAGAGAGCCAGAGCAATGCAGCCTTCCGCCAGAGACAAGAGCAGCAGTCCGGTTAGCATGCCCTGGAAAACACATGGAAAACCCCCACAGGCTATGGAAGACAGAAAAGCAGGCGTTGTAAGAGAGAAAATTGTTGGCAAAATTTCACATCTGGCACTAGGAACCCCTTTCCTTAGGAGGGATTCCTGAATTTTCTCCCACTTCAAACAACTTGAAAATGGATCGTTGGAATTCTACTCTTACTCACAGGGTCTAGAATGGCAGGTAAGTCTGGGCGTGTCCATACTGATTTCTGGTGGTTTGTTTGCCTGATTGCTACCCACCTTTCATGACCAGTGTTGACTTTTGGGCCTTACACGTCTCCTTTGGTCCGTCTGCCGTTGTTCCTTATGACACACGACACCCTACAGTTAACCCTCTGAACTTCTCCCTCACTCTGGTTGCACCATGCAATTCAAATACCAACACACCCTCCCCAGTCATATCAGGTGGTTGTTCATGGAGCACCGGGAACACCAGTTTTTCTTTTTTCTCTTCGGATGGCTTTTCAAATCAAGAGAAAAGTGCCCCAGGGAAAACTGAGTTCTTGCAGAATTTTCCACTCACCAACCACACATCGGGGCCTTCAGACACGAATGGTACTAAAAAGCTAACTTTTTTTTGCTCAGTACTCCCAGCAAGACACAAAAGGCTAGGTCCCTTAGCCTTCAGGAGAGTGTCCAGAATCTAAGTAAGCAACGGCTGCCAATTCCATGGTGAGAATTAAGAGAAAAATTCAAACAAAACCAGTTAACAGGTTTCCATGACTGGGACCGGATATACTTACTATAAATGCAACTGCATAGGAAGACTTCCACATCATTGTGTCATACGTGATTATTTCTTCAAAAATTATCACAATTATGCCAATGCCTGCTACGGTGGCACTGACTGTATTCATTCCCAGGCTGCCTTGGATCTGAAGGAGAATAAGAAAGAAGAGTTGTTGCAAACCTTTCTCGTGTTCTTCCCAGGTTAGATGTGCCAGTCGGGGACATTCAGCTCACTTGAGCTGAGTCTGGGAATTGACTTGGAGATCTTCCCCAGTTTAAAAAGGAACTTCTGGTAAAGTCGTGGTTTTGACTCCCTCAGGCACTCTCGTATAGCAAGCACGTGGGCACGTGGAACCTCACAGAGCACAGAGCTAAGCCCATCATTCTTGCCTAAGTGCCACGAAGGAAGCACTTCTAGGGACCCCCCTGGAACCACTTCTAGGGTCCTTCTCTAGAGAACCAGCAAGTTGTAGGTGCCTTAGCCTCGTAGCTGAACAGCTCCTTACTTCACTAGACCCATCCGAGCCTCCGCAAGGAAACACTTACCAAACCCTTGGTTACTTTCCTTCCAGCAGCAATGGACAGCGCTCCAGATATGAAGAACTGACCAGAGAGAGAAAACCCACTCAGAGCTTGTCCCATCCACCTGATTTCCCCCACTCCCCTGACAGTGTTATCTACCCAGTCAGCCCAAGATTAGGACCTAAACAGCAGTGCATGGGTTTTTGAGAGACAAGGATGAAGGTCTTGAAGACCTTTGAAAAATTTGAAACACTGGAACAATCACTAATACTCACAGAGAAGGGTCCCCATAGGTGATAGCGTATTTCAGTGGTAATGCAAAATTGAGAATCATAGTCATATAGGGGGAAAGGACTGATTGTCACACCCAGGCACAGTATTATCAGCCCAATCAGGATCTGAGCCACCTGGAAGGTAAGAGACATCCTATGAAGGGCAGCTTCTCAGGAGGAAGATTCTCTCTCAGATCAGTGCCTGTTAACTTCTTCCCACCGCTGAGACCCCAAGCCTGAGAAGGTCCCAGGAAGGTGACAGTCTACAGAGCGAATCTTTTTCCTTGTCCAATGCAGGACACTGACATTAGTCTGAAAGTATTTATTCCTAGAATTACTACCTAAGTAGAAATTTTTTTTTTTTTTTAATTCCAGTGGTGGACAGCTTTCCACCATTTCTTTCCACTTCCTGAATCTGTAAGGTCTGTGACGTTCAGGATGGTTCCGTTCAGCTCACGACCACCGTCGATGATCTAGAGAAGGGGGGTATTGCGAGGAAACCCCAGTCTTGTGTCAGGAAGCCTGCCCCTCCCCACAGCCTGCACTCTGATCTCGGGCCCACTCACCCCTAAGACCTGGGGCTGCCCCTTCAGGAAGAGCAGCAGACTCTGCTGCTGCGAGGGCAAAACCCAGGTACCTGGCCAGTGTGGTTGGGTTATACTCTCACTCTCAGGAAGGTTTATCGTGTAGTCCCGGGCTGTCTCTGCCTCAAATGTCCCTGTGTTTCTGTTGGCACCAGGAAAGAAAACACTTCTCAGCATGGATTCACTTTTTTTAAAGGTTTATTTATTTTTGAGAGAGAGAGAGAGAGAGAGAGAGAGAAAGCAAGAGGGGGAGGAATGGGCGGGGGGGGGGGGGACAGAGTATCCAAAGCAGGCCCCGCCCTGACAGTGGCCATCTCCACGCGGGGCTCAAACCCACAAACTGCAAGATTGATGACCTGAGCCAAAGTCAGCCGTTCAATCGACTGAGGCGCCCCCTCAGCATTTCACTTTTAAATATCTTCCTTGTTCCTCAGCAAAATCCAGGGACAGGGGATTTGGTGTCTCTGGCATAACCCAGAGTTTTCCTTCTATCCCGGTTCCCATACCTACCCAAGCAGTCAGCTCAGAATAATCTAGACTGCGTTCCAGCTGCCTCTCCTTGGCAATGTGCACACAGTTATTGATCCTAAAGCAGAGACTCTAAACCTTGTAAGACTGAAAGCCAGATATTTACCTTCCGCTCATATTCCAGAAGCAAAAGCAACTGCCCGCTCACAGCAAGATTTCAAGCAAGATTTTTCCATTCACAAATTTTCTCTAGCTCAACTTACGGAATGCCCCATAGTCCAGACACTTGTATGCCTCCCACCTAGACGCCTTCTCGGAGACAAAGCATGGGGTAAAGATGAGAAAAGATTTCTTCCTACCTATGCATCTCCTCAGCACACACAAATGGGTGGTTGTGCCTTCTGCGGCGTGGTCTCGAATTCACAGCGTTCAAAGACAGTGACCTGCTCTGATGTATGATGCGTGAAGAAGACTCTGCTCGGGATCCCGGGTTGGCCATTTGTTTCCTGTGACTTATCTCAACCTTCCCAGATGAGTATCTGTGATGTGCTTCAGCTAAGATAATAATCGAGCTCCACTTCTCACACATAAAGACTGTATCAAAGGGCACACGTGTTCTCAACACCAGCTCCTCCCCACTGCTGTGCTCCTCTTCGGAACTAGGCAGAAGTCTGTGTTTGCCCAGATCCTCAACGACTGGGACCCACACCGATGGGGTGTTGGAGTGGTGGGGTTTCAGAGCTGTCGGCCGAGAAAGAATTGTTGAGATATCTTTGGTGCAAAAAAGGTGATTTTATCAAAGCACGGGGACAGGACCCGCGGGCAGAAAGAGCTGCCCCAGGATCGAACCATGAGAAGAGACTGGAGTTGGGGGAGGTAAAGTCAAGAGGAAGTTTCCAAAGTGATTTTCATATGCTAAAGACACAGGATCCTGGAGGCCCAGCTACTGTCCAGCTCAGGTTGTTTTGCCCCCTAGCAAAGCATCAACATTAAGACGGTGGGGAGTTCCTGGAGGAATGTTATGCTCTGCCTGCTTCAAGTATTTGTCAACAGGCTGCAGGTTATAAGGAAATTGAATTTTATCTGCCATTTCTTTCTGCCTCTGTTTCCCACATCACACACTATCCTGGCTTGATGTAGTAGAAGCTGGATGCAAATGATGAGTTTTCATAAATAAAGGCTTTGCTGAAGCCTCTGATGAGGGAGCTTGGGGCCAGCCGAGGGCCAAATACAGGCTGGCCCCCCCCCCCCCCCCCCCCAGCCCCGACCAGGTGGAATATGTCTGATATTCCTCGGACACTCCTGGCTACCCAAGAACAAAGGAAAGGGGTTTAAATGCTTGCCGTGGTGATGTGGGAAACTAAGGTAAATGACAAATTAAATTCCCTACTGCCTATAGCCCATTGCCAAGTCCTGGAGACGACAGAGTGACCTCCCTCCAGGAGCTCAGCTGCCCCAAGGATGACGCTTTGCTGGGGGCAAAAGAGAACCTTGGCTTACCATTGTCCCAACCTCGAGGATCCTGTAAATCTACTTCCTTTATCTCAACTGCCCCAGGATATACGCTGGCAATCATGCTCCAAACTTATGCCCGACACCGCCCCCGGGGCCCGCGCCCCACCTGAGGGGTCTCATGACTGAGATTTTATTAAACAGTGATAAGTGGTGTTTTCTTAGCAACAGCTAACCCCTCAGTGTCCTGGAAGCTTCACTTCCAAAATTCTTTGGAGACTTACTCTATCCCTGACCCCCTCCCAACCTGAGGATATATAATGAGTTACCCATCAGGACCCCAGTGCAGCTCTTCCTGCCCATGGGTCCTGTCCCCTTGCTTTAACAAAATCACCTTGCGGCACCAAAGACTTCTTCAAGAATTCTTTCTTGGCCGTTGGCTCCAGACCACTCACCGTCACCCCAAAGCTTCGTCAGCCTCTGTTTTAATTAATTCTATTTTATGTTATTTTATATGAGCAATGAAGTTGATTTTATTACATAACATTTTCAACTCCACAAGACACTTTCCGTATTAAACTTTGGGTTGCATGGGAAATTTTTATCACAAGTTGATTTTTTCTGGACTTGCAGTCCATGGTAACCTCTTGTAACCCACTTCACAAAATGAAAACGGTGTTGTTCTTCTGCCCGATTCTAGCCGGATGCACCACGAGGAAGAAGTATCTCCGAGTTATCCGTGACATGTGTGCCTGTGAGAAACAGTGAGCGTTTATGCAGATGGTATCTCTCTCCCAAATTCCTTCTTTCTCCTGTTAGCCTGTCCTCCTACAGGCTGACACACTGATTCTCGAAGGCATCACCTTCCATAACCAATATCCAACAGTATTTCCTGAATAATAGCAAAAGCCCCGTGATGGTGATGCTTATGTAGTAGAATAACTCTCGAATTCCCCTACAGCTCTGAGGTCCTTGTAGGCTGACTTCCAGCCATAACCACTCCCCTGAGAAAGTGCTCCCTCTACTGTCCGTGTTTAGGCTAGCAAGTCCTTTTCAAAATGATAAGGTGCCTTTAGGCCACAGTTTTGGTTTTAGGCTGTAACCTACGCAGCAGTCCCACAAGAATCCTACTCTCTTGGAAAAGGTGTTTTGTTCTGGGCCTCATACTGACAAATCCGTCCTACGTGGTGTGAATCTTGTTATCGCCACGAAGTTCCAGGGGTTTGTATGGTCTCAGCCCATCTAATAGTATTGCAATTGGCTAGAAATGTCTGGAGACACTCAGCTGGGCCCCTGTGAGCTTCCCACAGATGTCTCCCCTTTCCAAACCGACGTTAGGGATGGACCAACTTTTGTGGTTATGATTGCAAGACACCCTTCGGAAGCCATCTTCAGGAAATCTGAAAAAATAAAGATTTGTTACAAGACCAGGAAATTACACAGCACACTGTGGTCACATTGTGAAGTCAAGGGTGGGGGGACAAGAGAAAGCAGGGGCCTGGGGTTCTGCTCTTATTGGGGACAGGGTGGGGGCCTAGGGTCTGGGGGACTCACTCTTTGCCGGTGAATTTAAAACACAAGAGTAGGAATTTCAAGCATGGGAAGAGAAAAAACAAGCGGCCCAAGGTATCAGTTAGGGAAATCGCCAAAGGTCTCTAAAATAAAGGGGTCAGTGCCAGAGGTGTTATGACTCTTTACCAGATGGCTGGCAGTGTGTTTATTCTAGACGGTTATCTGGGAAGTGGATCCCTGTTTGAAAGAACGCCTCTCTCCAAATCAAAGCTTAAGTTGGCAGGCGCGTGCATTACCAAAAACAAAAACAAAAACAAAAACGTCAGGGCTTACACTATACCTGATGAGGTTTTTGGGTGATGAGGGGTTCATGGGGTTTGGAGCTGAAAGCCAAGAAAGCACTCTTAAAGACGTCTTTGGTGCAAAAAGGTGATTTTATTTAAGCACAGGGACAGGACCCGTGGGCAGAAAGAGCTGCACTGGGCTTGTGAAGAGTGGCTCATTATATACTCTGGGGCCAGAAGTGGTAAAGTCAAAAGGGAAGTTTCCAAAGAGAGTTTCATATGCTAAAGACTTACTGGAGGCCTATCTATTGTCAAGCTAAGGTTGTTTTTCCCTCTAGCAAAGCATTAACATTAAGATAGCAGGGGGTTCCTGGGCTTTCGGCTATTGATGGGATTGCCTTTTTCTTGTAAACTGTTGGAGACTTTTATGAGTTAACCACTTGGTTTTTTGTCCTTTCCTGTTTTGGGGTAGTCGGGACTGTCCAAGAGATATCACACATATCCCACCTGGGGCGGTGGGGTGCGCTAGCTTGTACTTTGCCCTCTGCCTGCCTTATGCTCCCTCATCAACACTGATGCATAAGAACTCTCCTCTGAGGGCAACTCTGTTGGATCCAGGCCTTTACCCACTGTGACAGGTTAAGTCACAATATCTGGAGCTCAAAATGTGCTTCCACTTAGGGATCAATCATGCACCCCCAAACGTTCCTTTCTACTCAGTCTATCTAGAATTAGTAATCTGTCTCCTTATTGTGATGTTAATAATCCGTGTCAGTAATGATCTGCCCTTCTGCTGATCTTTCTAGAAAGTGTCCTAATTCTTACACACTATTCTCTGGGGATTTCCTATCCCTTTGACCCTAGTTTCTGGTATACGTACAGTTTTTGAGTGGAAGTGATTTTAACTGAGCAATTTCTGAGTAAATAAAACTCTTCTCAGGAGGTCATGGAGGCAGAAGGCTACAGGTAGTAAACCTATCACCTCCTATTCTTTCAGACATCAGGCTTTAAGCAGGGGCACTAACAATAAGCAGGTAATGGGATCTTCAACTAATTCCGTACACCTAGTGCTCCCTATCAATGTGCCTTGGTCTGTTTTTCCCGAAGCCCACAAAGATGGGTGGGGAGCTGTCCCGATGAGGAGAACCGAGTCCAGAGAAATGGAGATAAAATGAAATTTCCTTACAACGGCAACCTACTAATACCCGAGACATGCACAATGTAACATTCCTCAAGGAACTCACAGCTTCCTTAATGTTAATACTTTGCTAGAGACTAAAAGCAACCTTATCTTGACAACAGCCAGAACCCCAGGATCCTGGAAGTCTTCTTTAACATAAGGAAATCCCTTTAGAGACTTCCATCATCTCTACCCACCCCTACTTAAAAATATATCATCAGTCGCACCTCACAATCATAACGCAGCTCTTTCTGCCCAAGGGTCCTGTCCCAGGGCATACTAAAACACCTTTTGCACCGGAGACATATCCAGAGTTCTTTCGTGACCACTGTTCTCAGTGACCTCACATCAATCCCAACAGCCAATTCTTACCCTGTCCATTCACCCCTTCCTCCTTCTTGCCTTTTAATCCTAAAATTGCACCACCTCTTCTGAAAACTGACTAGTGGTTTCCAATAAAGCTGAATGTGTGTGTCCTGAGACAAATGTCTGGATAAAGAGAGCAGGTTTGATAGCGAAAGGAAATTTTAAATCCTGCCAACTCAGAATCCTCTCCACAAAATGTGGGAAATGATGTGGTTTGATGTGGGGTGCATGAGGGAATGGTCAAGAAAGAATTCTTAAGATGTTTTTTTGGTGCGAAAAAGGCGGTTTTATTAAAGCACAGGGATAGCTCCCCTGGGCAGAAAGAGCTTCACTGGGGTTGGGAGGAGTGATTGATTACACACTTTTAATTTGGGAGGAGTAGAGACAAAGGAAGTTTCCAAAAGGATTTTCGTATGTTAAAGAAGACTTCCAGGATTGTTGTCAAGTTAAGGTTGTTTTTGCCTCTAGCAAGGTATTACCATTAAGACAGCAGGGAGTTCCTGGAGGAATGTCAAACTTCCCTGTCTCAAGTATTTGTCAATGAGCTGCAAGTTATAAGGAAATTTAGCTTTATCTATATTTCCTTTTGCCTTTGTTCTCCACAGCAGAAAATACAGGAAACAACTTTACTTTTTTTTAAGTTTATTTATTTATTCTTAGAG